TGCTGTAAAATAAGGCAATGAACATCTATACCTAGACTTAAGAGAGAAACAAAGAGAGTATTTATTGTATTTCATCTCAAGTCAGATTAATTATTTTGGAGACTGGCAGAGGACTTTCAAAATATTGACACCAAGTATCTCTCATTACATTTTCCTCAAATAAGAGGGTTTCAAGATTTTAAAAGCCGCTCATAGGAAACTAGAGAAAATGCAACACTAGCTATGATCTCAGAGTCAGTCTAGTATCAAAACTTTAGTTATAAAAATCCATTTACTCACAACCTTTGAGTTACTATCCCTTCCTTCCCACCTACACTCCCCATAAAACAATCTTCGTCTCTTGACCACATCGGCAAGCCCAGGATCACCTGCATTATCCAGCTCTAGGGCTGTGCGAGAAAAGGGGAGTTGTTCTAATGAACTCATGACTATTTACCACTGCATCATGTTTACCTTTAACTGGACTTTGGAAATTCCACAGCCAGAGAGAAAGCTGGAGAGAACCAGAGATCTCTCCATGACAGACCCAGGCCCAAGGAGATAAACTATCTGAGAAGATACTCTCAATCTAATGAAGCACTTCTATTGAAACCTTTCGAGTGCCCAAATTTTCATTCATTGTGCCACAGCCTGGCTTTCTGTTTAGACTGTGCCGGCCACTCTCTTCTGGCCACTAGGGCGATGAAGTGAGACATAGGTGATAGAGTCAACTAGCTTTAACTGGTTAAGCATCCACTGTCTCTTCTAAAAATAAATAAAACCAAACACAAAATTATTAATCTAACCAGTGATTGCTGTAATAAGCCTGCTGTTTCCACTCTCCTGCCCTTTAAACAGTCACACTACTTTCTGAATCACACTTTTACTTCTATCTTTTTGGTCTTGGTGAAAAACACTCAAGCAAGTTTTTACAGTTAGACATACTTTTAACTGTGGTAGTCTCTGAAGAGACTAACTGGTGGACTATTCGATGTATTCTTTAAAAAAAAAGATACTATTTTGAACCATTTGATACACAAATACTAGTTTTAAAACGTGGATTATTTTGGGTAGACCTCCAACAGAGGCTAAGATAGTTGTTTCCAAAACTTCTGGAAGCTACATAGAAAATACTCGTTGTGCATTATTTCACAATTTTTTCAAAACTAAGAATACATTGTCAGTACTAGTTTATTTTGTGGTTTTTTAAGAAAAACCCTTTTATGGACTTAAAAAAAAAAAACTAGATTAAGTAGAAAGCTTCAGCTATAAACAGCCCACTAAATGAACGCTAGGAATGCAGGATTAGACAACGTGAGGAGGCGCCTGCCTACATCCTTCAGGTGGATTGGTGCAATTGGAAGCTCTCCCCAGAGCCGGGCCACAGGTGACTCAGCAGCGAGTCACAGGGCGCTGGAGAGGGGGCGCCGCTCCAGGTGCTTCCACTGCGTAAGGGAAGGTGAGGTCATTTGGAGAAATGGAGGGGAGAGATTTTTAGTTTTCACAAGTCCTTGGGGGCCAAGTGAAGGCTCCCTAGTCTTCCTCGGGCGGTGGCGGGACCTGGGATGATGCCCTCTCACTAGGATCAAGAGAGCTTTCTATTTCCACCGAGAGCAGTGCTCCGGCCGCGTCTTCGAGCCCGAAGGGGAGTCTGCCAGCTTTACCAGCCTGGTCACCAGAAGCCAATTTGTCTGGGGGCGTCCGAAACACGGTCCCACACGCAACTCGGGTTCCGCCGCCCGGTGGGGCTGCTCACTCTCTTCCCCTCCTACCACCGCCCGGGGACCACACCCCGCCCCGGCACTCACCATGACTGAGACTTGCAGGGATCCGCGGGACTGGAAGAGGATAAGGAACGGCGACAAGTACCTCCCACTGACAGACTACCAAGGAGTCCGGGGGAGAAGTGAACCGGGAACCGGCCCATGGGACTTTATATACCCCTTTCCCAGCCACGTGTCGGGAGGGCGGGCACTGGACCCCGCCCCGGCCCCCGCCGCCCCACCTCTGAGTTGCAAGGCCCCGGGCCGGACGCCCCGCCCTACACAGCCGCGGGAGAGAGGAGGGGCGCGCGGTGCTGATTGGTGGGTTCAAAAGTTCAAACCAAACTCTTTCGAAAGGAGCCAGAGGAACCAGGAAAGGGAGGAGACATCCTGGGGCCTAAGAGTGGGCAGGTGGGTCGGGGAATAAGGTGGAGACGGCGACTGGAAGGAGCGGGAAGTGGGAGTGTCTGCCCCTCCGTGGGTGAGGCAGGTGGACGAAGCCTAAGTGAGGAAAGGCGCCAAGTAAAGAGAGCGCGGCCCCTCCCGCCGCCCGCCCCCTCCCTGGTCCGGACCCTGGAGGACGGCCCACGTGGCTTCCAACCAGTCCCCGCCGCATAGCCCCCTACAGGGCCGGGCCTGGGAGTCGCCCTCCCGGTCGCTTCCACCTCGCCCAGCCCCAGGGGCCGGCTGCCCTCGCGCCTGAGGGCTTTCCGAGAGAGGAGGTTCGTTCCCCTTTCCAGGTCTTAATTACCACGAACCGACCTGAAGTCCCGACTCCCACCTTTTTGGTTGCTTTTTAGTTGTTTATCTACCTCCTTTTTAAAATGAATCTTTTGGTTCCTAATAACAATCTCTTTCCTACTGATGCAAAAGCCAATTTGTTTAGGTCATTATAATAATACCTTCATTTTTGATTGCTTACTAAGCAGAGTAGCTGGGTTTTATTACACTGTAATAATCACATTTCACCCACGCAACAAACCCTGTGAGTTATCCCCATTTTACAGATAAACTAGTGGTCAGAGGAATTAAACTAGTTGAAGTTACACAGCCAGAATTGTGGCGCTGCCCTTAAGCCCTCACTACCTTGTACTGCCTCACACTAAGTATTGTGCTGCGACCAGACCTGCTAGGTTTATTTCTCAGAAGTGTGGGAGTCGGGAGTGAGTCTTCTTCAGAACGAGCCACCCTGGCATACAGATTATTTAGAGCTGAAAAGAATTAAAGCCCAACAAACTCAAGAATTTTTACCTCCCTCTTACCTACCTAGAGAGATTCAGATAGATGAACCTGCTTTAGGAAGGGAATCTTAGTATATTAACGTTAGCACATACGCATTAAGTGTGGCAGACTGGGAGGATCCAAGCAAAAAGCCGTTTCCTAGATTCCCCTTTGTGTCCCATTGTTTCTGGATGGCCCTGCAAGAATTTGTTTACCAAATGTTTGCTTTTTCTCATCTATCTGAATTGGCTACCTCACCTCCTCAGTCCAGAATGACCAACGAACCTCATTTTGCCCCACTGTCTTTGGGATTTTCATGCTATGTGAATTCTCTGTGCACATGTATTAAAATGTGATTTTCTCCTGTTAATCCAAGGTATGTCATTTGAATTATTTGACCAGCCAGAAGAACTTAAGGGATAAGGGGAGAGTTCCCCCACCCTGACAAAAGCATCTTTTATTTAAATTGTTTTTCTTTCTCTGCAACTTCACCATGTTATCTTATCTGTTAAATTCCTTCACCAGCTCTGGGTGATAGAGTTTACGGAAATACTCAGAGAACAAAAGTGACTGCTATACAAGAGTAGAAGTTAAAGGGCTTTTTTTCTGAAGTAAGAAAAAGTAAAAATGAAAGCAAAAATCAGTATTGGATACAGAATAGGCAGAACTTGAGATATACTCCAACTCATACACACAAATGAATGCTATAGAAATATGTACAGAGATTTCTTTTCAAATCACAATACATAGTTGATTCATCAAATGCTTATTGAATACCTATCGTGTGGCAAGGTGTTCTGAAATGTAGAATAACTAGCATTTTAGTCTTTTGCTAAATATTTTAGTATTAATTAGTAGAGCTTTCCAACTTTTTTGATTCATTCGACAAATATATTTAGCAGTTTCTAGGTGCTTAGGAGTATGTATGGGAACAAAACTGACATCTCTGCTTCATGGACCATATGAGAGACATAGAAAGACAATGGACACAATAAATAAGTAAATTATATAATTTGTCAGAAGGCGTAGAGTGCTATTAAAAAGTATAGAGCAAAGTAAAGTGCAATGAAAGTCGAGATGTTTATGATGGCCACGTGGAGGTGGAGATGCCCAATACACAGCTGGATATTAGAGTCTGGATCTCAAGAGAGAGAATTCTGGGTAGAGATATACATCTAAATGCCACCCTAAAGTCATGACACTGGGTGAGATGGCTGAGGGAGTGGGTGTAGAAATAGAAGAGGACCAAGGACTGAGCTCTAGGAGAATCAGCAAAGGACAATAAGAAGGAACAGCCAGTGAGTTAGGAGGAAACCCAAGAGCGTGAGGTGCTGGAAATCAAGGCAGGCATGATCAGCAGCATCAAATACTGCTAATGGTTCAAATAAGATGAGAACTCAAAAATGGCCACTAGACTTAGCCATATAAAGGTTACCAGTAACCTTGATAAGAACAGTTCAGTGTGGCAATTTAAAAAAAAGCCTTTTATTTTTAGATTGTTTTCATATGATTCATTACAAAATATTTTATTTTTCTTTTTCTGTCTACCACCTCATATTCAAGCAGATAGTCCCTGAGGAACCACAGAACGTTTAAGGGCTTTACAGTACTCATTACCTTGGTTTGGATTCTGGCTTTTTTTGTTTTCTAGCTGTGGGTTCTTGAACACATTTTTTAATCTCTCTAAACCTCCCTTATAAAATGGGGTAGTATATAAGTCATAGGTGGATACATTGTTATGAGGATTACATGAAATAAATAATACATAGCACATATATATAGTAAGGCACTAAGTAAAATTGGTAGCTGTTACTGTTGCAGGTGGTGGTGGCGGACAAAATTATAGATAAAGAGGCATCCTCTTGCATTTTAAAATCATTTTAAGCTTTGGGATCCATATTTAAGTTTGCTGCCCCCTGCTGGATTTTTTTTTTTTTGAGGAAGTAGGGAATTTCTTCCCTGAGCGGACAGTTAAAAATTTAACCTTTATTAGAGTAAACAGGTCTTTATGAATCTAAAAATTACTGAATGAAGAGATGCAGAAACTGATCTTTAGTTTAAATTCTCCTGAAGTCACCACAAGATAGTGAGTTATTAACAGGTTCTTCGCTGGTTCTCCCAGAGCTCAGTCCTTGGTCCTCTTCTATTTCTACACCCACTGCCTCAGTGATCTCACCCAGTGTCATGACAATATAACTTTGGACGGGCATTTTTCCTCCTTGAGCCCCAGGTGTCACATGTGCAATATGAGAAGATTGGACAAGATTATATCCAAGGCCTCTTCCAGCTCTAATATTTTGTGATGCTCTGACTCAAGGCTTCTGCTGTACATGTGAGCTGTACAAAAATGAGCAGAGTTAAAAAAAAATGTGGTCAAGGTCTTCTGAGAATCACCAATATATTAGTTAAATACTTACAGATAGAGCTTTTACTGGAGTCTTACAATGCTTTAAGGAAAGAAATGTTGCATACCTACTCTGGCTTGAAGGAGCTTGGATTTTAAATTGCTGTGATATAGCATGTCCACAAAACATTACTAAAGAGAAAATAATTCAGAGAAAACCGAATTTTATGTTTTTGCAGACTAATCTCTGTTTTATATGCTAGGATACTGAATTTTCAGTAATACTGAAAAATTTATTTGTGTTCAGTTACAAATTACATGTTACAAATAATAATGGTATAGGGATACTTTGTTCTCATATAGCAATTTATAACAAAATATATTCTACTGCAATAATGCCTGGAGGATTTTTCAAAAATAAGTTTTTAACAAAGGTACTTATTATGGAACTGTGGGAAATAAGATTCTGAGACTTGAAATAATTACCCTAAACCACAAGAAGTAGAACCCAAAATAAATGCTTAAAGTGACAGTAGCCTCTTACTTCTAGGCCCTTCCTTAGAAATGGCTCTAATTCACAGGGAAAGGAAGTCCTAGAAAAGTTACTTTTTGAATTTGTTGTCTTAAGGCAAGGCTATTCCGAACAGAGCAAGAAAAAGATTATTTGTTCCACTCTCAAGACCTCTAAACAACAGCTAGAACTCCTTGCAGTTAAGTTCAACCACCTTCTTTACGATAAAATCTTTTATTTCGAGGAAGTTTGCGTTTTCTTCTTTTTACCTCTCCTAAAAACAGAAGAGCAGAACATTATCTTCTAGGTAATACGTTATTTTCTTTTATAGGAAAAATAATCCTTAGATCCTTTAACTTTCACTTACTGCTCTTTTTATCCTGCAAATATTTGTTACCTTTATAACTTTCTTATACATTCTTTCAGACTTCTCCCCCACAATGGAAGTAGTGTTTTGGACTTCTTCCCTTTCCTCAGGACTTTTCGTATGAAATGCCAGCTTCATACTGGGAGATTACCAGAGAAGACGGGCTTTTGTCTCTGAAATTTCTCATTTTATTTCCACTGAGACGTCATTTGGCTTGTTTTAATCTGCTTTATAGTCTCTCAAAATATAATATTTCAAATTGTTTCCTCACAGTGACTGACTGAAACAACTGAGTAGGATGTGATTCCCTAGAATTTCCGCTGTCTATACAGCTATCCTTCTTATTCCAAGCTCTTTCTAATCTCTCCTGTAATTAATAACCATTCCCTTGATCTCCCTCCCATATTCCTTTAGGATAGACAGATAAAAATCTCTTGCAGAAAATTTAAAGGAACTACTCACATTTTTCAATTATCTACATTATTTATCTAGTCAGTGGACCATATCCTGGAGTCTGGAAATCTTTTCTATTTATGGCAATGTTTATTTAACAACTTTATTCATAAACCTAAAAAGAACCCACAGTGCCCCAAATGGAAGGCCCCTGAAGGTCTACTTTCCTGTGACTGTAACTTGTCAGCAGCTGAGACAGTGAGGGATTTACTCAGAGCTTGTGACTCTCAGGGTAATCTTTCCCCTTTCACTTTTCTGGGCATCCATCTACCTGCCCACTTCACCCCCTCCCAGGATGCAGAGCCAGCATTCTCAAGTACACTAA